TCTTCCTTTTCTCATCAAATGATGGCCTATTTATAGGCAAAGGGATGTTGCCAAATGACCTCAAATGTCCTTCACTTTAAGGATAATTTGGTCATTTTAATATATTTATTTATTATTATTTTTAAAATTAAAGAGATAATATCTCTTTAAAGATTTATTACCCTAACTTCTAAGATTTTACTAGGGTAAATATATTTTAAATTTTTGACATTTTTTTTAATGCCTACAGATATATAATAAAATAGTTCCAAAATTATAAAATGATATAAACAAAAATTTTTATAAGATTCAAATTCAACTTAAAGATATATAAGATATTATAATAACAATTTACAATAAAAAAAATTATAGATAGAAGTGAGAAACTTAAAGTCTCTCAAATATTTTTGCATAAAAACCCAAAGTTAAAGGAATAACCCTCCATATGTCGAGAACATAAGAAAAATTATAAGAATTAGACCAAAAAATTTTGGAAGAAGAAGATGCAAAAAAATTAGGTAGTTTGTGTAAATAGATTATTGAAACCGAACAATAAAAGTATTTCTCTCTATTTGCTACTCTAGTTTCTCTTCTCTCAACTCGTAGGAAAGGCTAAAATCACTTCCTACCATGATTCAACACCCTAACTTGTTTTGGGTTTTTTTTACTACAATTACATTGAGAAGTTTGCTGGCCTTGAGCTCTATACACGAATGGATCTAGATGCCCTAGGAGGAGAAATTAGCTACTTCATCAAGGATGGGAGGACTAATGTGGAAGCACTGGTCAACATGAACAAAGAGCAAGGACGGATTCCCCCAGCGCCTGGTATTGATATTCATGATATTCATGCTTCTTCAAGTGATCTCTGCTCTTACCCTACCTTCATGTTGGTCGGTCTTGTTAAATTAGAAGCATATGAACACTGAGGATTTGAAATCCCTTTGGGACTCATGATTGATATTCTTTTTATGGTGAGTTTGCTAGTAATGGTCATGCCATATTAGGTTACAAAGAATATGCTGAAAAGGATAAAATATGCAAAATTTTCCTCTTGGAATATTTGTTTATGATGGGAGTAACAGGACTGCTGATGGGTTAGGTGGTTGTCCCATAATAGCCACAGGGGCACCCTGGTACACACAGGTAAGGAGGCACAAGGGTTGGGGTCTCCCTTCAAGCCTTTTGGAGCTTTAATTAAAGGCATTTATCCCATATCCTCTTTTTGAATGCATTTACTAGTTCGGTTCGTTGTTGTTCTTCTCAAGTTTTCTCCATGTTATGTCCATGTGTGCTGTGACGGTGCTATTAGGTGGATTGTGTGGTATGCCATCTTTGGCTGCAAATTGGGCATGGTATCCTTAATTTGCTAGGGGACGAAGCCTTAGGCAATAAAGACAGGAAAAGTTCTCTCTATTACTACAACTAAACAAGTAAGGAGAGCTATGCTTCTATCGGAAAAGGTTGGATTATTCTGCTTAGCTGCCTCTTGGACCCTCTTTATCTTAGTTTGGTTGTTACTTTTATTTTCTAGAAAATCATGAAAATATGTCCTGCTATTAGTTTCATTAATGCTGGTTTTCCCTGGGGATCTGATAAGTTGGTTACCCTTGGTGTGAAAATCGGAAGAATAGCCTTTCCTAGGTCAATGTTTGAGAGGTATTTCTGTTGCCTTCGGCAGAACTTCCTCATTCCAGCACCTGGATGGTTCATAGAGGATTGCTTCCAAGAAATTCATACTTTGAGAGGAGTAGCTAGTTCTTGGATCATGCTTCTCAAGAAGTCAGCAGCTTTTTCTTTGTCTGTTTTACTTGTAGGTAACTAAGCGAATTAGGAACATGATGCAACAATCCCTCGTTTGCCCCATGTGTGAGAGAAAAATGAGAGAACTTAATAGCAAATGGACAAACTAAAGGAGAGAGCTTAGTAGTAAATGCAGACGGACTATACAAGTACATATAGACTGTAAGGTTGGGATTTGGGAGCTCTAAAAGAAAATTATGGCATAAATTAACACCCTACATATCCCCTTAACTTATATATAGATAAAAGATCATAGTTTTATTGATTACCAAAAATCTATGGTGTCAGCACCATACATGCAAAAAAGTAGAAAACTATGAAGCTTACACTAAAAGATGTGCTCATAATTAATGAATCTAGGCTATCAAGTAAAGAAAGCCTTTTGCATCATAAATTATAGGAACATTTTGGGGCTTGTAAGCACACTACTATTTCAAGCTTTCAAATTCGCTTACTTACCTGCTCCTGCAATGCCAAAAATAGTGGAGAGCAAAAAACTAATGTTGCAACCGTCCCATCCAACTATAGTGCTATGTCAAGATCGAATTTTAATTTAATCACCAGAGCCTCTCCAAGTTTTTTGTATCCTTTTCTTCCTCCTCTTATGTTGCCATCTAATGTCTTTTGATAAGGCACACATCATTGGAAATCCCAAGATCAAATCCTTTAAGAGAGCTCCCCCCAAATTGAAGAGTCCTCGATGCCAGTTGCCACGTTTGCAGCACCAGCTTCTCGACCATCTTTACAAACCAAATTTGTCAAAACAGACTTAGAAATGGCGTCCAACTATAATAGTGAGTGATGGATTAACGGATGAAGCAGAACACCACCCCTCCATACCGATCATATCCTTCTCGGCATGCTTCATTCTTCCAAGAATCGGATAGTATTGGTGGCTTTTGGGTTGCACCCATCTGACTTGCCTGGTCCTTCAGTGATAAAAACAAGAAAAATATATATTATTTTTCATGTTAATATTATTTTCACTCTAATTATTATTGCTTTTATTGGAATACTTTTAAAATCTTATATGTAGAAAATCATCTTTTAATTTAAGTAATTGTTACGATTTTTTTTTGTTTGTTTAGTTAGTTTCTGTGAGGATGTGCCCGAAATGGATAATTTCGGACAACCAAAATTGAACCTCCTCCTCACTTCTAGATCAACCCCCGGTTGTAAGTAAGGTTCATTGAGATCATGCTAGTTGATCAGTACCACCGAGATATTTGCTCTACTAGCCACATCACACTCCAATTATTACTCGTTGAAAGACTAAATGAACATCATCTCTAAACTTATAAATACCTCTTAAGGTTACTCCCTTAATTGATCTCAGGTTAAGGCTAGATTATTGTTAACTTAGTATGGAAGTGTCTATTTCAAAGTCCATCCTCAAAGCTTTGCAGGTCATTCGTGCTGTTAATCTTGGACCAAAAGAGCAGATCTATCTCGTGCTGTTAATCTTGGACCAAAAGAGCAGATCTATCTCGTGCAATCACAGTTTCTTTGTGGATTCAACACTTAAACCAAAACTACAACAACCACTTAATCAAAGAGTATTTATATTGGGGGAGATAGAATCAGCAATGCACCAGCAGAGTTCCTACGGGGTGTGCAGCGCCAGCGGCTTCGTTGTTCTCAATTAAGAAAACCAGAGAGGAGAAAAATGAAAAATATATATATATATTTTTGGTTTTGATTTTAATGATCGGTAGATGGATTCAAATTGGAATTCGATTAGATTTTGATGATGCCGCACAAGCAAAATACGAGTAAATGAAAAAAAATCCCGTTCCTAGACCCACCCTATTCCATATCAAATTCGACTCCCACAATTGGACTTCGACCCGGAGTTCGATTTCAAAAGCCTATCTTATAAATATAGGATAACGAGCAAACCTGAAATTAATTCAATTCACTCATCCTCCTTCGACAATCTCTCTCTGTTTTGCTCTTCCGTCCAGTCATGGTTTTCCAAACGAGTCTTACGGTGCCTTGCCGCCATTACGGCACTCCAAGATGTAGGATTCTTCGTGTGATAACGAAGCCAAGGGGTTTACTCCGGAAAAACGCCCTGAGGTGTCACCGCACATTTATCAAGGGTTTGAATCTTACCCCTGAAGAATTGCAGGAGAAGATTCAGAAAATCAAGGACAGCAGAGACTATTCCTTTATGTTCCAACACGATTCTCAACTTCCGATCATCAAGTCTCCTCCTACATCATCGCTGTTGAGACAATCGCTACTGGGTTCCAACCCCACTTCCCGCAGTTATTCGGAAAGCACTCCACATGGTGGTTCGCTGGTAAGGGTTTTCTGTTCTGCAAAGAACAGAGCGAAGAGACAGAGGCCGGGCCCGATGATGTCAAGAATGTCTGTGCATCAAGATCGTGTCATCAAGTCTCCTCCCAGGTCCTCCCATCTGGGTTTTAAGAAAACTGCTCATCCTTACTTGGAAAACAAGGTGAATGCACGTTCGGGACATTCGGGTTCTTTAGATAAGACTGTTCGGAAACAGAGGTCCCTATCGGTAACTTCAACAACGGCAAGGGCAGAGGCTGGGGACAGGACTAAATCTGTTTCCTTGAAAAGCAAGCAACAGGGTAGTACCACAGCTGAAAAGAAGATTAATGGCGGTTCAGATTCTTTGCATGAGACCCAACAGAAACCAGCAGTGACATCAAGCATGGTGAAAGAGGGTTGCTTGGAAAGCACTCAACAAGGTCTTGCGGTTCCTGAAAAGAAGATTAATTCCGATTCGGGTTCTTCCCATAAGAGTGTGCAGAAACGTACAACGCCGGCATCAACAAATGCAGCACATATCCAGGATGATAAGATGGTGGCCGGAGAAAGTAAGAAACCAGGGCCACTGAAGGTCAGAGTCATCTGCGGCGGACGAGACTTCAGTAAAGAAATAGGGTTCCCAAAATCTCTTCCTCTTGGAAGCATGTCGAGATCAATCTCATGTTCATAAGTGAAGACCATGCCCCTCTTGAAATCTATTGCATGCAGTGCCACCTCTGAGTCCCCTTGTTATGTATATGTTTTCCAGGTTCAAGAATTCATTGGTTTATGTTAAGACTGACTATAATACCCTAGTTATTTTGTAGAGAGATAATGAATTTGATTGAAGGCTTAATGATAATTTTTTTATTGAACAATGTCACAGTTCTTTTGTTTTAGTTGTAATTCAGATGTTCTGTTCTAATCAAGGTTTTAAAAACCGGACCGGTCATTGAACCGTTTTCGGGTCCGGTTTCCGGTTTGACCGGTTCAACCGGTTGAACCGGTGAACCGGCCGGTTCAAATGACAAGGGAAATTTGATGAGAGGGATAGGTAATTTTGTAATTTCATTAAAATTAAGGGTTAAAATCGGTATAAGAAAGGAATGGTGAGGGTGAAATTGGAAAAAAAAAAAAGAAAATTGCATGAGAAATTGAACCGGTGGTTTTTCCGGTTCTACCGGTTCTACCGGTTCCACCGGTTTTATCGGTTTTGACCGGTTTTGAACGGTTTTTGACCGGTTTTGACCGGTTTTGACCTCAAACGGTTTTTTTGTGTGAACCGAGCCGTTTTCCTTACCGGTACCGGTCCGACCGGTTCAACCGGCCGGTCCGGTCCGGTTTTAAAAACCTTGGTTCTAATCAAGCCCCATAAACATATCCTTAGTGTTCTGGTCTGGTAATCAAGACACACAACATAATAGTTGGAGACAAAAAGAGTTGGAAATTAATCTTCCTTTTTTTTTTTTTTTTTTTTTTTATTGGCTATACTTTCATACAATTTCTAATTGATAAATATTTCAAATACCTGCAACAATCACAAGACAGGAAGTTTAACAGTGCTTTTCAAATGCGTTAAAATGTTATTACACAAGACTTAGCTCGTCAGGGACGCTTGAAACTTCTGTTTCTTGGTTCAATCCAATGGCAGCGAGTTTCTTCCTTAATGCCACCAATTCTTCCCCCGCATTACATATATAGGCCGACGCTTGTCTGCCGGATAATGTTGCTCCTTCCATACTATCTATATAATCCTGTACAACATAAAAGTCACTCAGTTTATAAAACATCAATTCTTCGTTTCTTTAATTCTATCAGCTGGCATCTCCATGCGTCTTTAACTCTAGCAAAATGGTATATGAAAGCAAGGGTTTACCTGCTTTGTATACGAGCCAGCCAGGAAGAAGTTCTTAATGGGTGTCTTCTGATCAGGCCTAAATGGATCTTTACCAGGTCCCTCGCGGTATAGAGACTGCCCAATCTTGACAACAGATGACCAAATAACTTCCAAACCTTGGGATGATGGAAATAAAGCCAAAACCTGGCAGAAAATAGTGAAGAATGAAAATTCTGAATATAAAGATGATATCCAACACCAGCACCCCGACACTCTCAAGAAAAAAAAATTAAGAACGAACTAAGAAACCATTTTTGCATGTCTCCAGTTAATGAGTTGCTACATCACTTTGTGGAACATGCAACTGCACCAGGATTAAATATGGGAGTATTTTGTTTTTCTACATTATAAATTGCAATCGGCTTAAGAAAACAAGCATAGGCGTTTTAGAAACCACTGACCTGCTTTGCTACTCTATTTATGATTTCATCATTCGGCAACGGCATGTAAGGATCACCCGGGGTCAAAACACATCTGAAAGAGAATGAGATTTAGTAATTATGATAAGATACAAAAGGCAAGCAAATATGCAAAATTAGTAATATTACAAGAGGAATAGTCAATCTGCATTTCCAATTTTCCATGAACGAACAAAGAACTAAAGTCAACACCTTATGTAAAAGATTTGGTTACCACAGGAGGTGGACGTATTTCCTGTGATGTTTATAGGCAATGAAAAAGTGATTATGAAAATAGAAGCAATCGTCCTTACTGGAGCAATGAACCTTGTCCCTCAATGTAGTAATCCTCAGGAGAAGTGAGAGCTAGGTCTGCAAAGCATGAGAAATCTGCATCCGGAGTATACAGAAGGTTATCCATGCCCACAGCTTGCCTCACTTGCCTATTTATCACAAAGTAAGGTTATAAAGAAATGAAGCTGAATGTTTAAATCATGCTTAGGTTTTAAATAGTGAAGCAAGCAGAGTCTTTATCCTTGAAAAAAAATTGTGGTTTTGTTAACAGATAAACTCAGTATAGATAATTACCGTGATCGTTCGAGATCCTGTAACTCTGTGACCCAGCCGTTGTATCTAAGTTGCACGGTTACAACAGGCACTCCAACTAGCTCATAAATATTGTTAAAAAATTCCCACTCCCTCCACTGTGGCGGAAGCAACCGTTTAATTCCAGGGACATCACAAGCTGCCAACAATTGAAGACTAAGTTATAAAGAAATACACACCAAAAACACAAAAGGGGAAAATAAGGAAAAACTAACAATAAACCTGCAACATATGCATCAGCTTTGACGATTTTTTTATTAGTTGCCTGCAATGGTATACAAATTTAAAATTAAACCTTAAAAATAAAACCCACCTACAACATCAAATGATTATCAAAGCTATATTTTATTACAAAATAAAGTTTTCTTGAGGAAAAACTAGAAAAATCATGATGATATTGGAATTGGAATATTTCAAGAGGAAGGTTAAGGGTAGGGGTGGAAATGAGCTGAATGGCACAGCTTAATCCTTTAGGAAAAAAGACAAGCTTAAGCTCAAAATCAAGGTTGTTTGAATTAAAGGCTGAACTACAATCCCTCTTAGAAATCAATTTTAGGAAGTCTCTAATGCATACACATCAGTGAAAGCAACATTAAATTTACTTACTTTTGACGTGGCAATTCCTGTGATATATGTCTCTCCATCAGCAGATTTATCATAAAGTATCTCTCTGCATCCCCATCTCAAGTGGAATCTGCTCTTGCAAAGAAGGATATTGATTATGAACGCAGAAAGAAACAATGACACCTTATTTGGAAAATTAGCGTAAACCAATATTTGTAAACGAACCTGCCTCCTCTTTCTGTGATATAGTTCCTGATGGGACCACTCAAGTAAACATCTGGGGAACCCTTGAGCATTCGCAGAAGGGAAGCCTCTGTCTTGGTAGCAAATAATGAGAATATAGTCAGCATACAGCGAGCACTGATGTTATCACAGTCAATAAACCCGAGGGCATAAGCAACAGGATCCCACATTCTCTGGATGCTTGCACGTGTCCCACCTTTAGACAAAAACCAATCAGAGAAGCTTATCTGCAAGAAGTAAATGAACACAGAGTAACATTAGATTTGTAAGAGGATAAAGACTACATGAATCTAGCCCAGAGTAAAAAATTGTTGGATTAAGGTTCACAAGGTGAGTCTGGGTTAAAGTTAACGGAAGTGGATGAATGCAAAGAAATCTCAGATTGAAAGAAAACAAGGTGACAGAGTAGAATATATATGTGGAGGCCCATGAACTTGACTAGCATGTCTTTTAAGTTCAAGATGGCGCCTCTCCATATGTGTTCATACTCACTCATGCATGCTCTCACTGGGCTGGTTGACTCCTCAACAAGAATTATTTGGTAAACAACTTACAGTATCCAAATTTCTTATGACCCTCATTGCTCCATCTGGATCAACAAGAGCTCTCACGACAGGACTTAAGGCAAGAGCCAGAGCATTTCTTGCTTTATCATAAGTCTGCACATGAACAAAATTTGAGGAAAAATGCATCAAAGAAAATTTCATTTGCTGCAGAAAGCTTACAAACCAATCAAAGGATCTGCACATTAGTGATAACATATTAGCAAGCACTACCTCGAGCTGATTTGTAGACAAAAATGCACGGATCCCGTGTATGGGAGCACCGACTGGAAATCGGAAATCAAGTTCTGCAATCAAAACTCAAACTTACAAACATCGTACGACAAAATGGACTATTCATACTCTTAGTAATGCACACATAGCTGACAATAACCAAAAGAAAATATTTTGAAATCAACTCAAAAGAGAAAACAGAGTATCAAACTAAAATTTGTTCAAGCATACACCTTACCACCAATTTCACCCCCCTTGTTAACAAAAGTGTGAGTATGATCCTTCACAAGGAGATTTTTATCTGCACCAACCTGGGATAGAGTAGAGATCCAAGAAAAATTGTCAGAGACCAGGTAAGAACAGCAAAATGTTTTTGAAGGAAAGAAATTAAGATTTTGACTTAATAAGAATTGATAAATGAATTTTGAGAGAAAAATAAACTAAGGCAGCTACAGCATTTCACACAAGGCATATTGATTAGATAGGAATAAAGCCAAGGACTAAGATGTTTGCCACATTCTGATAACCATTTGGATGGTCAGGGGTAGGGTGGGGCAACACAAGAATCCTCATTCTTCCAGTTTCTCTGTGAAGAAAAACTATCCATCTTTCAACAAGGCAAGGCTCAAGGAGGTTGCAAGCAAAGCACACAGTACAGAAGAACACCATGGATGATAACAGACACATTAGCTATTTCTAATTATATTATCAACAGAAGTGTATCCAAACAGATGTGGTCCAGATTCAGAGGTCTTAACTTGTTCATTGTAAGGCAAAACTACTTGATCATACAAGCTCTAGTCTCAAGAGCTCTACATTCTCATATGTGATTTTCTTGGTTATTGAAAATGAAGTTTTCAGATATAACAGTGCACAATGATGGAATAGTTATAATCGTAACTGCAATAATTCAACCAGCTCACCTTTTTCATCAAGCGGAAGAGATTATTGTAGCAACCAAAGAACACATGCAGTCCCATCTCTATGTGATTGCCACGTTTATCAACAAAAGAGCCTACTTTGCCACCAATGAAAGACCTTGACTCATATATATCCACCTGACAAAGACCAAAGTACTTATCTAATTACCACCATGGACAGGACTAAGGATTAGTCAGCAAATCATTCCCACATAGAGAATGAGCATTACAGGCAGCATTAGGTAACGGTGTTTTCACTAGAGAATGAAAAATGCCAAAAGATGTTTCTGGCATTCAACCAAGTAATTTTAACAAATTTATGGTTACTTGAAAGTTTATCTTGAAATGCCAATATTGTCTAGAATTTAGATAATGCAGAAAAAACTCAGTTGTGAGACAAGTAAAACCTCATGGCCCTGATCCAATAGCTCCACTGCAGTTGACATGCCTGCAAGTCCAGCTCCAATGATAGCTACTTTCAGCTTTGGTCCCCTGTAATGTTCAGGTTCTGGTGGAAACAAACCCTTTGGAGCTGCAAGAATATACCATCCAATTATTTATTATATAATTAACCAAAATAACAATGTTGGTGATCTTTAAATTATGAGAAACAAAACTCTGTTTAAGTATGATCTTTGCAGCACAACCCAGCACCGAATTTTCATATAAGCTGAGATGGCCAAATCAATTTAATAACTAATCCACTACAATTTTCGCTAAGGAAATGCAGCAAAGCCACTTTGACATCTCCAAACCTCCTGCTAAGTTGCAGAAATCAAAATCAAGGTAAAACCTCAAACCCATCTCCGGCATAAAAATAAATCCCCAGAAAACAAGAACTCCCAAAATCCAAAGACCCCAAACAACCAATTCTTGCAAAAATGAAAATGCACAGAAAGGGACTCGGAAAATTACCATTAACGCTCATATCAGACACGTTAGTATCCAGAGCAGACCGCACACATAGCCTCTGAGACCTAAGCTTACCCACTGAACCAAGCCCAGTGCACCCAAACAGAACAGAACAAGAAGCCATAGGTGCCAGTCTTCAAAAATACCCAGAAATGAAAATTTGAGCACTCCTTTGAAACCACCAGTGGTAGCAATATTACCAGTATAACCCGATTCAGAACGAAATTACAAAGAGGAACAAAGAAGGTATCTACACGGAAAGATGTCAAAGGAAAGAAATTTGGCAGGATGTTATTGCAAGTTTTTAGCTAAAACAGTAGTGTAAAGTGCGAGACATGAAAAAGTGAGGCGGTGACACTGCCACTAACAGAAAATGGGCCAAACACAAATTAACAAAATTCAAAGTATCAAACCAAATTCTGTGAAAGACAAAAGACAGGAGATGAGTTTGTAATAATTTAAGGACTGAATTCAATGTGGTGGATTAAAAAATTGTTGGAGTATTGGGTGCTTTTTCTTCCTTATCTTTCAATATAATTTGAGGTTTTCCCTGCGGAAGAGGAAGGAACACGACGACTTTTTTCTTTAGTGACAGAAAAGTATGTTGTGTTGTTGATCCTGTATTTTTGTATGGAGTAGCATATTTAATCCAAAACTTTGGATTTTTCATTTTTTGAACCAGGCTAATTATATTTTGTTACGAGTACAAACTAAGTGCCATGGTTATCACCAGCAAAGAAATTGTTAGGGTCACACAAAAACAGTATAATTATTTTTAATTTAATTGTTAAAAAGAATTAATAACTATAATGGTTAGCTAATATGGCTAATAATAGATAGTATATGTGTATTTATAAAATAATATTTTGAAATACCTTAATAGTTATAAAGGGATAAAAAATTAAATTAAATTAAATTAAATACATATATTGTGTTCTATGTAGCTCCAATAATTCTTGGAGTCAGAATAAAAGCCAGTGGTCAAGCTCAAAGCCAAGACCACACTATTAAGCCTTAACCATTGTGTCACAACATGGTTAGCATCCAAAACTTTAGTTTGTATTAACTCTAGATTTGTAGCATGTGTGGAAGAAAGTCTAGAATATCATGAGAATACCATGTGAACGCATTCCCTCTCAATCCAATTAGAGTTTGCCACATCATCATGTGATGGAATAACATAATATTAAAAAAAAAGTTTTAAATATGTGAAAAAGTTTAGAATTAATGTTTGAAAGGTAAGATTTACATTTCAAATTGTGTAAGATTATTTCCAAATCTAGTACAATGGCTAGAAGCCTTAATTGAGCACTCTTGAAGAATAAATAGATGCAATTGGAGGTTAAAGCAAGATAAGAGAGAAGAAAACAAATGCCTTCATCTTTGAGAGAGGTTTACAAGTTTTTATTTTTTCATGTTTAAGTTTTCATTTTGATTATCTTGTGATTATTGTTCTCTTGGTTCTCTTGATTCTCTTTCATCAACAAAGTACGAGAGGGATTGAGTAGTGTTACTAGATTTAAAAACATCATCTTTTTGGTATAGAATTGAATTTGTGAGAAATTGTAACGATGAGTTAGTTTGTTGAAGATGGATAGCGCCATAAAAATTTGTTGAAGGTGGATAATGCCAACAAAATTATTGTCAACAATTTTCTCTATACTCGAAAGTTGAACGAGAAGTTTTGAATCGAAAGCAGACACTAAACAAGCAGTTTGAGGAGTGGTGTCAAACAATTATCAATGCCACCTAGCATATCAATGACAATTATCTAGTTTTGTATAGCATTTATTTCCTACATATCTTACATATATGTTGCCAATTGTGTATGAAGGGTGGTGTCGGGCGTTTGCTCAACCACAGACATGAAAGATGTAAAAATACTATGGGTCGAAAAGATGATGAGTCTCTATTTGACAACTCATTCAAATATGAATAAACTGAACAGCGAATCCCACTTTCTCTATGTTCATTTTTCGTTTCATTTAGCTTATCATTTTTTCAACAGGAGCTGAAGTAGCTGAAATTGAAGAGGATTTTGATTCCTGTGAGAAGAGTGCAATGGAAGTCAATTCAAGTGACAATGCAGTCAAGAAGGCTTAAAAACACTGCTCATTGTGCAAAAAATTAAAAACACTGCTCATTGTGCAAAAAAACAGTTAAGATTTGGAAAAATTTTTAGGCATAAATATAAGGAAAAAAATATTTTAAAGTTTAGATTGTACATATTATTTTTATATTATTTTATTAATAATAATTCAATAACTTTAATAACTAAACTGCATATTAAATACAAACTTGCAAAAATTATTAAATGGCGTCGCCCGGACTCGAACCGGAGACCTTCAGTGTGTTAGACTGACGTGATAACCAACTACACCACGACACCATTTGTTTTCGTGACTAATACAGATTTTATTTCAAACAAGAAAGAACTCAATCTTCACCTTCGGCGGGTGGCACCAAAGAAAACGAAAAGTAGAGCAACCTACTGGGCATACCCGCACCACATGAAAGTTGTGAGCTTTGAAAGAGGACTGTTGCAATCACAGAGGAAGGAATAAAAAGCGGTGGACTGAGGAGAAGAGAAGGAGAAATTCTAATTGGGAATTGCAGCATGCACGGGTATAGCATTTCTTTTCTTTCCTTCTTTGGTATGGCCTAACCAAATTCCATGTTTATTTCCTGTTTAGCCTCGAATTTTTTTTTATTTTCTTTTTATCATCAAGTTTCTACGTTACAAAGTTTTGATCTTTTAGATTTTTTAAGGACCCGAAATGGGTCTGTTGAGTCTAGGATGATATACTGTAGAATATTATTGTTAAAGAATGCTTCTTTATCTTAATCTAAGAGGGGAATTTGGTTGGCCTTGTGTAGTTGTTAGCCTTGGTTTGATTTTGGAAGTTAATGTTAGATGGCTACTAATTTGGTGTATGTGGGTTTGCTTAATATGGGAACTTGATTGTGGAGTTGCTGCTAAGTATCTTGTTTTTACGTGGCAAATTCAGTTTTCTTCAACTGTAGAATTGGATTTCTCGTGTTAGTTTAATTATAATTTATTGATGTTTCTGTTTTATACTACTTTCAGATACCTTTTGGGCATGAAAAGGGTACTATGATTACTCCTGGTAATTTGCAAGTTTTCAAGAGTGTCATTTCAGGTTGGTTGATGATTTTTCTTG